TGGGGTTCCAGGCCGGTGATGTAGATAAGTATATATCACATGTTGTTTCAGCGCGTTGCTTTGGTCGTAGATGGGATAGTTCGACAATCGCTACTTGACCGGTTGGCGCTTATTCAATTGCCAAGAACGATGACCACCACATATATCGATGGCAAATGGGTCTCTGGAACACTAACGAATGAATAAGCGCTGATAAATGCATCGGGGCATCTATCTCATTGTGTGACGATATGTGCTAGCATTTGATTATGTCAGCCTAGTCAGGTGAAAGTTCACGTCACAGGCGACGGAGAAGCGATCCTACACCTATAGAAAAACGATTGGTTGTTATAACCATTTGAGATGTAAATCGTTCAATTTGAGTCTCCTCATACTTATTCATCCAAATTACTCGAGTTGTATAAACTAAGTACATCTGTAAAATGACTCGTGCTTGCCACACGTCATGCGCTTGATCGACGCTTTCTTGGTCTATGTATTGGCCGGTATTAGCCAACGAGCAAATGCGTAAATATTGTCTTCTTATGACTTCACGCACAATTGACAACTTACGTGATGATGTCAAATGGAGCGAGTTGTCCATCGCGAATAAGCACCGCTTTGTTGAGTGGTGTAGTGGTCGTAAACGCTCTGACGAGCACGACTGGAACACATGCCTGGTCAGAAATATATGGCTGCATCGCAAGCAAACCTACGTCACATCTTGAGCGTGGACTTTGCGATCCTTTGGAATCTACATCCAATCTGAAGTAGCGACGGTCAATCGAGAGAGCGACGATGTTTTGGTAGAGTCCTACGCTTACGTACGTGGTAAGCATAATGGTTACCGTCACACTTCGCTTCCGATGGTCAAGACGAAACGAAATTTATGTTTTACCCCACGTATTTATGAGATTTGTCTAAACGATCTGCTCATCTTTACAGAGATGTCGGCATACGATACTATGTAGCAGACACAACGAGCGAAGATTATTAGCATAGAGTAGCGAGAACGTTTACACGTGAATTGGCACAGCGCGAATGAGGGAGGGGGCAGGCGTCACATCGATTCTTGGTCAGACGCAAGCCTTTTTGTACTCCTCATCACTTGTTAACAACGAGCTGCGGAGCAAGAGAATAAGTTCATCGAGACTTTTTTACATCACTCTTGAAAAGAAGAAACGTGACGGCGTACATGCATCAGCGGCGTCTACAGTGATACCACAGGTGTCGGGTGCAAGATAAATTTTCGTTTGCACGAATTCGCTTCTTCGGAGGCTCGGAATGGACGACATGCTTGCGACGACCTGGAGGCCATCAACTCGAGCTCGAAATCTACCCCGTTCGGAAGCTCTATACTATGAGGAAGGTGCGCAATTATTATGACGGAAAGGTGAGCCTGAAGTGGAGTTGGTGGTGCCTGAAGCATGTGATCCTACTCGGCGATACCACGTTTCTGGCGTCTCGTGACTAAAAGTGGAGGAGCAGCACGTAACGACCAAATTCACCTAGAGGTTGAGGTAATTGATAAAATTTCGCTACACTGGTCGCAATCGTATCGTTTTTGTCGTCAACAGGGTTTTCACGGGTACGATAGAGGAAGTTTAGCATCTACAATGATCCAAGATTGTAGCTTGTGATGTCGCTCATGTAGTCTGTTCTTCCGTAGCGAATTTTTCGTGAGGTTCGTTAGCAATGCATCAGCGTGTATTTCGCATAGAGCATGAGTCTAAAAGACCTAAACTTTCACGTACAGCGGCAAGAATGCAAAGCCCAAATACGCGTAATTGCTCTCGACCAATCCCCTTCAGCAACGTGACCAAATGCATGTACAACGAGAACCTAGTGCGCGATCGGTTTGCACTACTTGGTATCTCTATGCGCCTCTAGACAGTCGCGTCCCGCTACTGTTGTTGATACGATATTTACCACACCAATATACCACCAGCTTCAACAGTCTCATTCATCTCCATTCCTTGCGTGATTAAACCTGCTGGCACATTTCGAGGCAGCCAACACAGGACGGTATAGCTGATCGTACGTGTCATGTGCTTGTTGCTCGAAATTTTGTACTTTTCATAGCGTTGCCGCCGAGGTCCTATGTGATCGTCCTCGGTCGTACAGCCGATCTGAGGATGCAGATGTAGTTTTAGAGGACATGCAGTTGTGCCACTACCTATAAGTGCCACCACTCCTTTCGGCTCAAAGCAACTAACATGCATCTTTTCGTCGCCTTGTACAATAACGGTAGTCGAAATGCTTGGGGGTGGGGAAGAACGTATACACGATCATGCATGGTTGTTTATATATACGAGGTCATCGGTCTACAGTCTATCCACGTGACGAGTCCGCTACAATCTGGTTACTCGTAGAGTGCGGTAGTGATCAGGGCGATGGTGCCATATTAGCAGTCAAAAGCAAGTATCGTCCATAAGCCCACGCGCGTCCGATCGTAGGTGAAACCTATCCTTACATGTATTCGTTTGCATCAGATTAGACACTGTCGAGGCTATTCGTTGGATCGGACAACGCTCATGTGAGCGAAAAGGTCGCGTTTGCACATCTCCGACCTGCGTTTTTGAGCAAGGCATGTGCCATGAAAGGATAGCATTCACGGTTCTTGCCTCGTGCAGACACACTGTACTGACATCGCACGAAATTGCACGATAGAGCAAGAGGCTAAGTAAACGCATTGTGTCAGAATAAGACGCAGCATCCGAGATGCAACATGCTATTAGTACTAGCGACGTGGCAACGAAAAGATCTTTTTTCTGCACGTCGAAGCACATTCCATTCTGTGTTCGCATAATTGTAGGGAAAGCCGCAAGGATACAGAAACGACACAAAAGTAGTACACGTGCGTCTGTGTACGCGACTGAGTCGGTTGGAAAGAAAGCGTAGGTCTCATACGTGTTTGTTTACGTTGACATCGATGTCAAACATTGATCAGCGGCCCGTGGCAGTCCAGCTTGTCAGTTCTGATGCGCGCCTAGTGTAACGGGGCACGCTCTCATCAGATGAATGGTAAGACCTTGTGTTAATAGAATACAAGGCTGCTTACTCCCGACGTCACGTACACGTGGCGTGAGGAAGCGCGAGGAAGTACACAGAACTCGGAAGCTCTGTGAAAGGAAAAAGTAGAACTGTATGTAATATAGTGGAGTTTCTTCAATAAACTATCGTTGTCTTGATCTAACTAATCGAACTACAACCTCCTACGTGGGTTTCTTGCTCACCACCCGTTGCGCGCGTCTAGCAGCAAGTGATGGTTAATTTGGTTGATGTCGCGTCTACATCAACCAAAAAATGGAGCAACCCATCAAAGAAATATTACCCTCGGGGGTAATATCCTGACAATATCACCTCTTCTCGAGTAATGTTGATCATATATTATTTAAATGAATAGGAGGCAAAAATTATACAGTCGTATCAATTTTATGTAACTGGATCACCCAGTTACAAAAACAATTTCTCGCTGGAATGACAACTAAAGTAATTGCTGAGGCACAAACACGTATGTCGAACAAATGGGATTGTGCGAGACATTTGCTCTACCAGAAGTCGGGCCCCCTCCAGTGGCCAAGTAGTTAAGCACTGGAACTGGGACCGCGAGGTACTTGGATCATTTCCGTGGAGCAGGGTTCGATCACCGGGACCGGGGATAGGCCGATATGTCGACGAGCAACCTTCCAATGCGATGGCCGTCCTGCTAACCCACCCCCCGGGTGAGGAGAGTTGGGTGGGCTGGAAGCCCCACTAGGCAGAAACGCCCCATAGTGTAATGAGGGGTGTGGTTCCTCTTAGGAGTACGAGCCCAGCGTACCCGCCGAGTACCCCGGGTACTCTGAAGGAACCCGCGGACTAAATCTCTACCCGAAGACGGATATTATCCAGCCAGCAGCAGCCTCCTCGATGATTCGCGTGAGAGGGGCAGACGTGTCGATTGTGTCTGGCATGGTAGCAGAAGGTCTGATATATCCGAAGCCATGTTAGCAATGCCAGTTCTCCACTTGTGAATCCATTGGCTGTGTCGTGGCTTGTCGCCACAAGCGACGGCTCTCGGGGTCGTCTGACTACAGTGCTTTGGCATGACAGCAGACGTGCTCTATGTCGCTTGCGTCCGCCCGCCGCCAGTACTCCCGCTTTGCTACAGCTCAGAGTTGCCGCATGCTTTTCTTTCCAGATTTCCGTGACACTGCCTTCCGTCTTGTCGGCGTCTGTCTGCGTGTAGGCAGTTGCTACAGTCCACGCTACCCACGAGCTAGTGATGCAAACACATCGCAGCATAAACACGAGAGTCACTCGCTCACGGGCTCTTTTCAGCTGGAGATATCGCATTAAAAACGAGTAAATGTATCCACACGCGTCAGCAATAAAACGCTCGATGTGGTGTGGACGATACGCAAACGTGTAGCGCGAATGTCGACAAACATGATACAGCGATACCACACGAGCGTCTGCAGAGTCCCCATGCGCGCGAACGTCATGTTGAAGTAGGCGATCACCCGATACTGTCGAGCAGCGAGTGCTTATACGTCTTCTTCCAGTGGGTTCACTACCACCGGACAAGCTGGCTGAACGCATTGTCATCGTCAGCTGTCCGTTATCCATCACAGCTGGAAACCGGTTCAAGTGTCTTTGGTTCAGTATCAGTTGTCCGTGTCCGGATCGCAGCGACACGGCCCGTTGCCCCACTGGTACTACCTCCTCCACAGGCTCTTTTCGACAACCCTCTCAATCGTATTCGTCGTGTTTCAGAAAGGCCAAAGCGCACCGCCTCCAAGTGTTTGGACCATACGACACCGGTGGCGTCCGTCTGGTCGGGGGCAAATCCGAACTCCCGCTCTTCGCTCCCCCCGCTCGCTGCTGGTTCCTCTCCGGCTTTTTCCTGTCGGGGGAAGAGGAGGAGGGGGCGGGGAGTACGACGGCCGATAGTTGACGCGCCTCGAGCGTGTGACAAGTGAGTCCGCCTGTCATTCCTCATCCAGCGTGACGCACGACAAGCAAACGCACCCTCTGCAATGGCGACGCGTCACTTGTTCTGGGCGTGGACACTGTCGCTCGCGGTCGGTGGCTGGTGGACTGCCTCGTCGCATGCCGCCAACGTCACGTGCGACGCGGAGTACGGCCAACGCAGTGCGTCCGGTGACTGCGAGTGCCTCGACGGCTTTAGCGGATTGGGCTGTCGCCTGTGCTCCATTGACGCGGGAACGGACGCGTGCCGGGCACTGGGCGACGACTACTCGTGCGTCAGTGGGTTCGCCTACGGTACGACCACAACCAGTAAAACGTACGCCTGCAGTCTGTCGCCGGACCTGCAAGCGCTGTTTTCAGACGGCGCGCTCGATGTGGCGTGTGACCGGAACGAAGAAGGGGCAGCCAACTGCACGGCCGTTGTCTACAAAGCTGCGGATACGGTGAACGGGGACCACCTCATTGAGTGCACGATGACCGAGTGCCACTTTCCGTCGGGCAGTGGCAACGGCGCGTGCGACATGATCCAGTGCAAGTGCGGTACCGGGTGCGCCGAGACGACGAAGATGGTCATTGAGCAAACGCTGAGCGGCAAACCCGTCAAAGTCCAAGTGCAAGACGGGTCAGACGACATGTCGATCCTCGTGGAAGACTCGCCGCTGCCCCTGTCCGCCACGTGCAAAGTCGCAGGCTGTGAACGTCTGGGAAGCGCCGCCGCGAGCGATCAGGCCAGTGTGGCTACGGCCAGTGCAGACGAGGACTCGAGCCTCGCAGGTGGAGTCGTGCTCGCGATCGTGGCATGTGCCATCTTGTCCGTGACGGTGCTGTTGAGTTGCATGGCCTTCTGCTGTGGGGTCGCAGGTACGCGTCGTAGCGAGCAGGACGACGACCTCGAGACGGAGCTGCTCAAAGTCAACTCGAAAGCCGTGGACACGCTCGAGTTCCGGAACGTCAGCTGCTTTACGACCGGCGGGAAACAGACGGCTGCCAAGTGCATTTTGAACAAAATCTCGGGAACAGTGTCACGTGGACAGGTTCTTGGATTGCTCGGACCAAGTGGCTCTGGCAAAACGACTTTGCTCAATGCACTGGCTGTCGTTCAAAACGGTCAGTCGAAAAACTCGGGGGAGCTCTTGATCGATGGCAACAAAGTGACGAGAGCGTACCGTCGCGTGGCTGCCTACGTGCAGCAGGACGATACGCTGTACTCGACGCTGACGGTCCGTGAATGCATTACGTACTCCGCTCAACTTCGCCTTCCATTGTCCATGACGGATGCGGCGAAACGCGCCATGGTCGAGCGCGTCATCGAAGAGCTGAACCTTGGCCATGTCGCGGGTTCTCGTATTGGAGTGGTGGGAGGAAGTAGCTCGGAACGAGGCATTTCTGGTGGCGAGAGACGGCGTGTTAGCATTGGCATGGAGCTGGTCACGTCGCCCCGCATTCTCATTCTCGACGAGCCCACGTCTGGACTCGACAGCTCATCTGCCCACTCCGTGGTGAAGCTCATCAAGGAGCTGGCAGGTCACGACCGTATCGTGGTGCTTAGCATCCATCAACCAAGTGCCCGATCCTTTCTACTGCTTGATAAGATCATATTGCTTGGAAAGGGCCGGATGCTGTACTACGGAGCCCCTGCTAGCGCTGCGAGGTCCTTTCACGATCTCGGCTTTCGCTGTCCTGACAACGAAAACATTGCGGACTTTATTCTTGATATCGCGAGCGACGCGGACAATCTGCAGGTGCTTCAATCTCGTGGATCGAACTTGGACTTTGAGGGTGCGCCAGCATCAGGCGTCATGGCTGGCAGCGCACAGAGTCATTTGCACAAAGCAGTATCTTCTGACACTGCGTTGGACAGCCCTCTGTACAAAGCCGAATCGTCGCCGTTTAAGACGGAAGAAGCGTCGGGATCTCGAAGTTTAGCCGCCTCGATTCGGATGACTACGGTTGAGATCCGCGTGCTGTTTATACGCACGGCGCAAAACATTCTTCGCCACCGCTCGCTGTTGGTCCTGCACACTGCGCTGAGCTTGGCGCTGGCTCTTTTCGGTGGCTTGATCTTCAACAACGTCTCGGATGACCTCGCTGGGTTCCAAAACCGTATGGGCGCTTTCTACTTCACACTGACGTTTTTCGGGTTTGCCAGCATGAGCTCTATGGACGTGTTCATTGGCGAGCGTCAGATTTTCCTCCGCGAGACTGGAGCCATGTACTACGGAGCATTCAGCTACTTTCTCGCCAAGACTACGCTCGACTCTATGTTTCTGCGCGTCCTGCCAGCATCGCTGTTTGCGTGCATCTTCTACTGGCTCATGGGACTGCAAGCTGCAGCGGACCGCTTCTTTCTTTTCTGGCTTACGGTGGTGCTGTTCAATGTGGCCGCGGGCTCGATCTGCCTCTTTGTCGGGGTCCTGGCAACGCGTGTGGGTTCTGCCAACCTCGGCGCTACAGTCATGCTACTGATTATGCTGCTCTTCGGTGGCTTTCTGATCAACAGCGAGACAATGCCCGGCTCGGTCGGCTGGCTCCAGCACCTCTCCATCTTTGGCTACGCGTTCGAGATTTTGATGGTGAATGAGCTGGAAGGTACCACTCTGACGTTCAATGCGCCAGGATACCCGTCCATTCCTGTCTTCGGGGAAGTGTATCTCAAGACATTGGGCATGGACTACGCTGACCGCTACTACGACGTCGCGGCACTTGCAGCGATTGCGTGCGTCCTGCAGTTTCTCGCGCTCTGTTGTTTGCTGCGGCAAGTTCCGTCGCACCTTAAGATGGCCGGTTATGACCAAAATGACGGCGCTACGGCCGTTGCGCAGAAAGATGCTGAATACAAGGCGTGTGGCTCGGATCAAATGCACTAGAGCTCCGCAATGATGCGGACGCGCGTCTTGTAATGGCTTGTTGACGAGGCGTGTAAGAGAGAAGTCATTGTCCGTTAAGTTGCTGTGGCTTTGAAGTGGTGGCTCTGACTATTGCTTCATGTGGCAGCAGCTTACCGTGTGCGAAAGATCAGTCGCTCCGTTTGCATTTGACGGGACCGTATGCGAAAGATCAGTCGCTCCGTTTGCACATGACGGGACCGTATGCGGTAATACTCGAACAGGTGATAGACACTTTTTGCCAATGGGTATTTGCTGTTTGGTTGTGTAAAATTGCGACCGTGTTGCGTTTGCGCGCATCGTCCCGTCACTGACTTCCCGGTCGCCATTAATGTTGAGCAATATAGAACGAAAACAAGTAATTGTTTATCCGAATCGAAACCATCAGACTTTTGGATTAAAACTCTTGTGCCGATAACAAGCAATTAATTTTCTTTTCGCCGGCGAGAGAGGTCGACCGTCAGTGGATTGCAAGGTGTGACATGGACACGAATGCTGGTGACCATAACGTACGAACAGTAAGTTCTACTTTTTAGCGAGTGCCTCGCCAAGCAGATGTTAGCGATCGAATCATTGCTCTATGAAGAAGTCCCATGGCGGCAAACAATAAACGAAGGGCAGCCTTTGCAATTAAACACGACGAAAGACAGTAATGGGAAAACCCAAACATTTCGAGTTTTGGCACACGCAAAAGTCAGAAAGAGAGAGCAAATGTAAGGGAAGAAAGAGATATACTGACTACGACAGACGTATTCGCTACATGAAGTGCACATGATGTGAAAGACGAGGCCTCGCGCAATCGTAGTCGTATCAGCAAATACCAAAATCGCTGTTTTCATCAGATCACGTTGATGTTGCTGCTGCGCCGACCAACCTGCGAAAGTACGCGGCTTAAAACGTGAGCTTAACTGGCCGCCAGCGTGGCTGATAGGTGTGTGGATTCATGTCTCTTGTTCTTTTGCAGCTAATCGAAATGTGTAACCGGGGAACTGGGATACTGCAGGTTACCCACCCCCCTCGTCTCCTCTTCCTCCCCGTGTGTCTGAAACGACGTTGACCAATCAATCCGTGACATTTACTTGAGCAACGGCATTCTATCCAATGAAACGCGTCTGTATTCTCTACAAACTACGTCTGCCACGAAGATGATCACATAGATGGCTGCATTTGCGACACTGCGTTCGACATCTATTAACGGCAACTTAATCTTTTGACAACTCTCCACAGTTAGCAATTGTTGGTCCGGCATCGAGTTGTCGACAACAAGAATGGCCTCACCTGCTGACCATTTCGTGGAGATCACAACACCGACATCAGAAGTCGATGCCAAATGTCTATCGAGTCAAACACCACAGTACACACTGCAATGGCGCAACCTGAGTCTCAAAACCGTTGCGATAAGCCGCAAACAATCGGACGAGAAGACCATTCTCTCCAACGTCAGTGGATGTGCACAGCCCGGCGAGCTTCTCGTCATCATGGGGCCCTCTGGTGCAGGCAAGAGCTCGCTTCTCGACTGTATCTCCGGACGCAATAGTGCCGTTGAGGGAGACATTCTACTGAACGGACATCCGTGGAGCGACACCACAAAGCGATTTTCTTCATACGTGATGCAAGACGATCTTTTCTATCCGACCATTACTGTGAAGGAGCATCTGATATTCCAGGCAAAGCTGCGCATGGGAAAGACGGTATCACCAAAACAATACCGACAACGTGTGGACGACGTGATGGAAGAGCTCGGACTTCAGAAATGCCGCGATACGTTGATTGGCGGTATCTCTTTGCGAGGCATTTCGGGTGGAGAGCGCAAGCGTCTTTCATTTGCAACGGAGATCCTGATAAATCCGTCGATCTTGTTTGCTGATGAGCCAACATCGGGTCTAGATAGTTTCATGGCTGAAACAGTCACGATGCAGCTGCAGCAAATCGCTCGTGGTGGCCGAACGGTGATCGCGACGATTCACCAGCCATCTTCAGAAGTATTTGCACTTTTCGACCAGCTGTATCTGCTCTCGGAAGGTTCTTGTGTCTTTCATGGCAAAGCTGTGGACTCGGTAAACTATTTCGCGTCTCTGGGCTACACCTGTCCGTCGTTGATGAATCCAACGGACTATTTCATGAAGCAATTAGTTGTGATGGACAAAGAAACCGACTTGAATGGTGTTGCACGGATTGAGATGCTAAAAGAGTCGTGGACGCAACATCAATGTCTACCTCAAATTGAAGAGACTGATGGGGACAATGTGGTTGATGACTATCAAGACCCACGCTTAGGGTTTATCGAGCAGGTGGGAGTGCTTGCGCATCGAAATGTGGTACGCTTTGTGCGCGATCGCATTACTTTCCGCGCAACGATTTTGCAAACGTTGTTCATTTCTTTGATTGTGGGTCTCATTTACTTGCAGCTAGATCTCGACCAGAAAGGAATCCAAAATTTTACAGGCGCTTTCTTTTTCTTGGTTGTCAACCAGACGTTCGGCGCTGCCAACCCAGTTTTCATCTCTGTACCACTGGAACTACCGATCATCATTCGCGAGTACAGGGCAGGACTGTTTCACCTGTTCTCGTGGTACCTCGCTAAGAACGTGAGCGAGTTGCCGATGCAAATTCTCTTGCCGATTTTGTTCTTCGTGCCGACCTATTTCTTGATTGGTATCGGTCATGGATTCGACGTTTACATATCCCAGCAAATTATAATTATTCTAGTAAGCAGCTGTGCTGTGGGCATTGGATACATGGTTTCATGTTTAGTTCGTCGAGTGGACATCGCCCCCATTATTGGCGTTGTCATCATCCTACCCTTCTTGCTGTTCGGAGGACTGCTGATCAACTCTGAGGACTGCCCGGATTACTTTGTGTGGATCCAATATGTGTCCCCTATCAAATACGGATTCGAAGCTATGATGAAGATATTCTGGAAACAGGTTCCAATGGTCGCTTGCAACGACGCAATCGAAAATTGTTCGGCGCGTACTGGGGAAGACGTGCTGAAGAATTTTAGCATGCAGTCAAGGTCAGCACTAGTTGACGGTTTGATTCTATTGGCTATCAATGCTGGCTTCCGCACAATTGGATTCGCCGGTTTGTGGCTTAATCTGCGGAGGGGAGGATGAAGAAAGGATGGATGCAGCTGCAGGAATTAGCCAGAAAACATGGTCTTGACGCGGCCACATGACAAGTACCTGCAGTAATCATGGATATTATAAATTGGACGCGCATGTTTCCGCTTATTTGCAGGGATTATAATGAAGTAAAAGCTGCTACAGGATCTGTAACGTCTAGTTTCACTTCTTTGTTTGTGGAAGAGTATCTATCGATACTTTTCCGAACCAAACTACCGATCCTTTTGGCCAATAAGTCTTTCTGAAGTGAATGCCCCATAATCGTTTCAACAGCTGCTGATGAATGTCACTTAGTCCTACGCTCGTGATTTACACAACATTTCTGATATGGTCGGGACTTCATTACAAGCTGCCAATATAGGTGCCAGTACGGCTGCCAATGACTTGGCGGTACCTTCTAGCAGCTTTCACGATGGTTCGCTAAAGACGAGCTATTCAGTTGCCGATGAACCGTCTGTAAACTTTGTACATCCTTTGGCTGACTCAAGCGCGTCTGCTACTTTTTTATAAACACAGCTATCTTCGACATGAACAACTATTGCACTCGGAGTGAATCGAATTTGACGTTGCTAGACACCACACATGTAAATGCGAGATAGCCAAATTGACTTGCTTTTCCGACTCGATGGTTATTTCCCTTTTGTGATGGAGAGGCCATGGCGGACACGCCGTTTCAGGTCGACACGTCAGATACCGAGATGCGACAGTTATCGTGAAAGCGACGAATGTGATGCAGTGATATTGAGCGGGTTTGCATCGATGGCAATCGTGGTAAATCTTTCTCAGTAGTGCGCGTTCATGAACGGAATTTGTTGATCGAACAAGGTGACATTGTTGAACGCCAATCTGTCATCCGGAACAATTGAAGGTAGATACAGCCTTTACTAAGCCTCCTCTCTGATTGTAGAGCTCTCCTTTATTCTGCACACGACCGCGTCATAAAGTATCCCCCTAGCACTGCGTATGAGATGCAGAATCGAATTTTGCTTGAGTGCTACCAACCCGATTTGCGGACTCACCGCAAAAGCGAAAAGTCCTCGAAAAGACGAGAATTTTGCGCGAATCTACAAGCAGAAGTACTCCGTCCGCCGTCATCTCCCTCACACCACATGGTGATACAATTAGAACAAATTGGTACTTAGAAATCTGCTAGTATATAGTAGCACGACGCGAGTCTCTGAACCAACAGATAGACCTAAACGAAAACGGCTAAAACGGTCCACAGATATTGTGCAAATCATACTCTCACCTCATCATGTTGCAACTGCCGACGTTTGGAAAATTTGTACATCTCAGTGATCACCATGAGAAGTGTCGCATCGTGATCGACGCTCTGACCCGCCCCAAGAGTACATTGACTTCAACAACGGCGATTGGCAGTGGATTCTGATGGTTCGTGGGATTATTTGAAGGTGGTAAAAAGCACTGGAGCCCGCGGCATTACCAGACTTCCTTCGTTTCCACATATAGAGAGCAAAGTCTACAATAAAATAGTAGCAAACTAAACGTTGCGCATCAATAGAATACATATGTGATTTCAGCAAGATGTCATCAGGTCAAATGGGCTGGTGTATCGGAATGAGCCCCGTGTCATGCATGACACCGGGAACACATCGAATGTCGATATCGAAACTGTCAATGGAATGCATGCAATAAAATTTCCTTCAAAGGTAATGTGGTAAATATTACCTTGAGAAAGCTAGTAGGTGGTAAGAAGATATCGACACGCTGCTTATCGGTCGACACAGGACGTGGTACCAATCTATACAGCTAACACGATCATGTGCACTGAGCAACTAGCACTGAGCCACAATACATAGATGTGGTGATCAGATATAACGCTGGACCTTTAAGAATGACTAGATCGGCGAATTCAGACTGTATGAAATTCAGTTTATTACACTCTCAGACGCCATGTTCTTCTTTCGGTACATCCACTGCCTGTACGAGAAACGTACGTGTGACTCCTGTAAAACACTCGGTACTGCCGCTATTGTACGCTACTACACTCTTGTAAGTGCAGGTGACGTATCCACATTACACCTGGTAGCACTTCATGACCCACCCAGCGACAATGGACGATGCACGGTGGAACCAGCGGATGTGTCAACCTTTTCACGCTGCGAGTCGGAGCTACTGCCATATTACTTACGACGAATGGCTGGTAGCTCAGTGAACGGATGGGTATGTCGGTGATGCTGCTGTCGCAATCGTATTGACTCTTCGCCGAGATGAGCAACATGCACTTGTCACCAAGTTTTTCCGATATGAACTTGAAGAGTGTAAGAACGCCTTGCTCTAGAGAAAGTGTCCAGTAGCATTGGTAGCTGGTAGGTATAGCCACTTGACAGCTCGACGTGCTTCAAGAGTGGTGTTCTTACACTCATGATTGTGATATGTCATCAGAAGATAGTGCATCTGGGCAGACATGTCCGCGTCGGGACAGGATTTTTGATATCAATCCATTCGGGGTAACACTCAGCTAAACGTGAATACCTGTTTTGACGATTGTTCGATGTAGTCATTGTCGAGGGAGCTCTTCACACCGTTGACGATGCATTTTTGGGCGGCTTTTGCTGCACACCGCGTAGGCTTGTTTGATCCATGGTGATGGACGTTGAAAGGGATAAATGTAACGTACACGTACTATATTTTTTGAGACCGCCTTAACGGGGATCCAGACACTGCGAAACCAAAGTCAAAAATGCACCGATTTAGTAGAGGGTGATGTAACGATATAACCCGCTACATGCCATTGGCGTTTTATGTAAAGCTTGATCTGAATAAAATCGACACTGCGTAACTCAAATCAAAAATGCGACGAGTTAGTAAGGGGGATACAACGAAATAACCCGCTACATGCCATTGGCGTTTTATGTAAAGCTTGATCCAAATATAATCGATGCGGCATTTTATTCAACTATAGACCCTAAGCTTATGATGATCAGCAATAAAATACTCAAAGTGAATATTCCAGCAATATTATATGTGAAAAGAATATTTACGATGTTTCGCTTTGGAGGATATATCAAGGAATATCACGTTCAAGGGGAAACTCTGTCTGTTCACATTCTAAGAAAATATGAAGGAAGTATCTTTTTGGAGGGAATACAAAAGAAACGTAACTTTCTGAGGCAATTTCCGGCGGCTGATGACGACACTCTACTCATCGTTCACACAGACCACGATGTGAGCTGACCCATACACTTTTCATAACCAGACGCGCGCAATGTGTGGAGAACGAATTGTCGCATATCCATTTACTGCTAGATATTATCGGTTGGACAAAACTGGTGATAAATGTCATAACTATCCTGAAAATAGTCCTATATTGGCCCATTCAACGAAGCGTGCTCTACGATGTCCTCCGCGCTTCTGCATACACAAGAGTACGTATGCCTTTTGGTGCACGTGCCTTATTGTTGTCAGTATGCATAGCTTATACTGAGTCAGCATAGGTGATTCGTACTCCGTTCTATGGTCGACTTCGTCGATGTTACCGTCCGCCTCGCGCTCGTCACAATCACCCACGTTCTGCAGATGACAGCGGCCAAAGTGCCGCTTGGGATCCGAGACGATGCCGTACCCATCGACTGGGTCTTGTCGTCGGTTCTGGTGTAGAAGCTGAACCCTGACATCGGCAAGCATTTGGCCATCCGTCATATGCCACGGGACTCTCGTTCTAACGCAAACACTGAGTCAAACCACTGCATTACCACGGCTTCTACCGCGATGATCGTTGATGGAAAATCAAACCACATGGAAAGCAGTAACAGACGCACCCTCACCTTTCGGCACTCGTAGAAGCCAACCTTGACGCCTGAACAGAAATTACCCGTCAAGAGTATGAGGATTGGAGATATTGGACGTAGTTTCCGGCCTCATTGTAGGTGATATTGGCTTGGCGGAGTGGTGACGTGTGTTTGCTACTGTACGCTTTGTTTGCGTACGCAAAGTGACTTGCCTTGCATATGGAACCCACTGTTATCCTGATGCGATTGACAACTCCGATAGGCTCTCAAACTTCGCCGTCTATCGAGCCAGTACTCATAAGGGGAGGTATTACCCTGTGGTGTGTGGGGACATATGATTTAGCCAAAGCTCCCGCTGCAAATCGAAGACTCAATCTGCACGATGGTAAGCGGTAAGAGCAGTGCCTTCTTTGTCCTATCGACACTTCGTCGCGCTTGACAAGCATGTTTCGTGTCCCTTTTTCGTGCGGTCAATAAATCCGCATGTTTCTAGAGCGCTCGTGAACGTGTGACAAGTGTGCAATGCCTACAGCCATTCTCTACCGGCTCCTCTTGCAGCAAGAAACGCTTTTGATTGTCCGCGACTTCGAACATACCCACCACTTTCGCGACCGCACCCAGCAGCAATCTCCAGGTCCATACGCTCCGTGGTTGTTTTAGAGTGAGTCTGCGGTTTTCTTCGGCACGCTAGATGCATCCAGATGTACGCGCGACATGACGGAGCAACCTTCAACGATCGGCCAGAACGCCCCAGCCTCGGGAATACTGCTGGATCGATGGGTATTTGCGACACTTTTACCCTACGCATCGTGTGCCAACAATCCCTTCCCAGCCATCACTTTCAAGCTTCAATGACGTGCTGCCCATGGCACGACGATCGTCTGTAGCTGCGTCGTAACGGACAGAATAGTAAGCGATCGTCGCAGTCTGGATCCTCACTCTGCCTTCTTCCTCGCCGCCACCAAGACCACGTCCTCGAAGTATGAAGATATTCGCGCTGCCCATTGTGGCGCTTGCCAGCATCCTGTCGATAACTGCCGACAGTGGAACGTGCAGTGGACCACAAGCTCGGTTCAAACCGCCGCCTGGTGCAATCGTTGTCGATGCGAAGGGTGATCCCAAGCACGACCAAGGCAGCTACCGGACGATGAAGGAGGGCTTTGCAAAACTTGATGTCCGTACGGATAAAGAGCAGACGATCTTCATCTTTCCGGGAGTCTACAAGGAGCAGGTGGTCGTTCCGCCTCTCAAAGGTGCTCTCGTGATCCAAGGCGCCACGTGCGATGCGACGTCGTACGTCAAGAACGAGGCGACGATTACGCACGCGATGGCGCGGAAGGACCTACCTCCAAATGTGACTGGTGATCACAATGCAATGACCAGCACAATGCGATTCAGGTCCAACAACGTGAAGGTTTACAATCTCAACATCGCCAATACGGCAGGCAATGTGGGACAGGCCGTCGCTGCTACCGTCGACGCCACAAACTGCAGCTTCTACGGCTGCAGCTTCACCGGACATCAAGACACTTTGTTGACCAAGAAAGGTCTTCAGCTGTATGCGAAGTCATACATCAATGGCGCTGTCGACTATATATTCGGCACCAGGGCGACGGCTTGGTTCGAAGGCTGCGATATTGAAAGCATTGGCAAGGGGTTCATCACCGCCAACGGTCGGTCTAGCGAAGACAGTGATTCCTTTTACGTCTTCAACCACGCGCGCGTGTACAGCTCCGATGCCAAGGCCTTCAACACAACCTTCCTTGGTCGTCCGTGGCGGCATTTTGCTCGCGTCGTGTGGCAAAACGGCGAGCTTGGCCGCGTTGTCAATCCTGCTGGTTGGTCAAAGTGGGGAGACGACGACACGTCGAAGTTGTACTTCGGAGAGTTCAACAATTTTGGCCCAGGCGCAGCTACGGGTCATCGAGCAAACTTCAGCCAACAGTTGAACAAAGCGGTGGACATCAAGGAACTCTTTGGTGACAGCTACAAGAGCGAGTGGTGGGTCGACCCATCGTACCTATAGACCCGTGATGCTCGCTTGCTAAGAGCTGCAGTAGTTGTCGTCTTTCTTTTTGCTTTAACATCGATAACACTGCATTCTTGATCTTCTTTTCATCGGACGAACACAAGGCCATACGACTGCGCTAAATACCTGACATTCATTGGGTGCCCGGACTACACAAAGCCTCAATATCATGGACGACACAAAGTCTCGATATCAGGGCGTACCATGGATCCAAACGGCCACCCGCAGCCCACGTAGGCCTTCAGACCGAGAGATGTTCGACCTCGGCGACGCCACGTCACCTCAGTGCATTTTAGGCGTATAGACCAGAGATGACCTTCAGTCGAGTTTCACCGAATCTGTTCATCCTTACGAAGTTACTACTCACGAAAGTCAGTCGCTTGACACGCAGAATAGTGCGCCTCACACTAATGCCGATGTCAACACGTAGCTTTTCTCTACGTCTTTTTTGGTCTGCAAGAAAGCGCTTCTGTGTTCTTGCGTTGCTTATCATGAGTCACTGTCCGTCTGTTTCGCGTCGTTGTCGACGATTAAAGGACATAGATGTGTCACAACAGCCCCGCAGCGACACTTCGGTCGGCAAGTGATCCAGAGCCGGAAACGAGACAACCTGTAAGCGAGGCAACCCGTAAACGCGACGCGACGCCCCGATGGTGTACCCTTTGCAATACATGTATTGCTTGCAACAAAGTCGACCATCTGATTAATGCTCTTCGATCTGCACTTGTTGTTGATCGCGAATTGTGGACAGCTGTCGATCGCATGATCACGTCTGCCAATGGACAAGCTTCGACGTATTGGTCAAGAAATAGACGGAGATTTCATGACGGTTTCTTACTATAGGAGTATGCACAAGATGTCCGATACGTCTGAGCTAGATACAAGCGCCAATCTGTAGCTTGTCGAAGCAGATCTCTATGGAAGCCGATAATCCTCATGTAAAAGAACGAAAAGGTTGATAGAGGCGCGTAGTAGATGTGAAGGGGTGAACCTGTCACATGTCATTAGCACGAAACATGTCAGTGCAAACAATATCTTATTGGTGATATTTAGCAATGTTACTCTTGCGGGGAATTACTAAATGAATATTACCTTTAGAGGTAATTTTCGGCACCGCTTCACCTGTAATTGATAGAGGTCCTTTTCCTGATCAAATAACCACTAATCGTAATCATACGCGCGCAATGGGTGGTGAGCGAGATTCTACATTGTACGGGTCTAGATGAATGTAGTGTATGTAAGAAAAGAAGATTTATCCTAAGAGGCTTCGAGTATGTTAAACCCAGTTTAACTTTTCGTGACTCTGAGCAGTTTCTTCCTCAGGTAGTTCTTTCCTCTGCACGTACCCTGTAACGGGGTTACACGTCGGCTGGTAGCCGACGATAGGTGTGGTGCACACACGAGAGGGGGGTATCCTATAAGGTAATATTAGAACACAGTGAGCGTATCAATTGTTGAAGACTGGTGTCTGTCATCAATTGATTGCAAGATCTTTTAAGAGGTTATTTAGGGCAGGTTAAACACGTTGTTCTAAGGTGTTCTTTTAGGTTAAATGAAGAAATAAAATTCAGTTCCCATTTTGACCAACATAAGACACGTGCCTTACGAGGCGTCTTTGATCGGGAGGACAGAAGCAACGCCTGTAAAGGTAGCTTGTCCTCGAGCACTCTGTGCTGTGATTCATTTGAATCGTTTGGTCCCTCTGGAACGGGGACCGTAAGCTCTCTGAGCTGTTGACTCTCTGAGCCGGGTTCTCTGAACCACCCTTTAAGCTCTCTGAGCTGTTGACTCTCTGAGTCGGGTTCTTTGAACCGAAGTTGCTCATTGAGCGTAAAGTCTTCCTCTGACTTAAGGAGCTGTGTAGCTCCGCTACACTTGGTAGCACTTGTAGTCAATCTACACATGAGTCGGTAACGACTGATCCTCTGCGAGGATGGAGCAATCCACACCCCTCTCTGAGGCTCAAAAGGTCGCGCTTGATAAGCTGACCGCGGCTGTAGGCCTAGAGTATGTGGAGTTTCTAGCTGCACAGGGTCCCGATGTGCTCAATGCACGAGTAGAGGCCTTTATGCAGTATGAAACGGCCCTGTTGGGCCAGGTTCAAAACCATGTAGCGTCGGCTATGCCGACACGCTACGTGGATATGCCACCAGAAGAGGCGAAGCCTCGTCCCCTTCGGGTGGACGTTAAACTTTACTCCGGGAAGGAGGGGGAAAACTTGACCCTCTGGATCCGTGAGATTGAGATGGCCATGGACTCTGGTCTCATCTCACTAGAGAACCAGCGGGTCTCTTTGGCCATCTCTAAGCTCGATGGTAGAGCTAGAGAGTGGGCTTTGACGTGTGGCACGTCGGTCAATTCGGCATTTCCCACGTGGGAATCGCTCAAGTTGGACCTTTTTCCAGTTTTCTCGCCGCCTAACCAGGCATATCGCGTGCGATCACGCTTCTTATCAACCCGGCAGGGTAAGAACGAGTTAACGGACTATGTCCAAGAGTTGAGAACTCTAATGGCTGCTATGCAGTCTGACCCTCTCCCTGAGACTGTCTACGTGACAGTGTTCATGGAAGGTCTCCGCACTGGCGTGACCAGAGCCGAGGTTTTTCGGGTCCATCCCTCTACTTTTGAGGAAGCTGTGAGCGTCGCTCAAAATGATGAGCACAACTTCAAGTCGGCCAGACTTGGTTGGAATGGGTACAACCCAAGCTTTGCGAGGGCGGCCTCTGCGAGGACTTCGGCTTACTGTAAGCCAGAACCGATGGATCTCAGCCATGCTGAAGATGAAGGCGAAGCGGAGCTTCATGTTGCGGAGCAACGACAGGATGTGAGACGCTGTCACATGTGCGGAAGCACTAAACACTTGCGTCCCACTTGTCCTTTGCGTAAGCAACAACCGACTCCTATGAGTCGAAACCCCAGCCTCAACCAGAAACCTGGTATGGCACGGGGAAACGTCGACACCCAGTAGGCGCGGGGCGGCCTACTGGGGTAGAATTGAGTTCTGTTGCATCTCTACGAGGTAGAGCAAAACAGGGCGTAGCCCCACAGAGCTCCGTGCCAGCAAGCACAGAGCGTGGATACAAGCCTGGCTTGTTAGTCGCTGAGGCGATAGATAAAGGCTTTGGAAGCACTGGTCGATATTAATCGATTCTGGGGCGTCATGCAACTATGCTAGACGCCGTTCCCTTGAGGGGAGTCAGCAATATGCTGAGGCGCTCAAAGCGCACGACGGTGATTCCATCACTGTTCGGTTAGCGACGGGTAGTCGCGTTACTGTGCCTAAAGTTCCATTGAACTTGGGCGTGAGGTTTTTGGACTTTGATAGCACAGAACGCTGTCTCGTCCTTGACTTGGATTCGAGATACGATCTCATCCTAGGCATGGCATGGCTTGAACGCCACGAACCATGGATCGATTGACGGAAGATGTCAATGTGCTGGACATTGGTATGTCAGAGTTATTTAACTCGAATGTCTATGACATGAATGTTGAGCGGAGCTCTTCTAATATGTTTGAAGAGAGTTGTACTCCGTTGAGTGATACTCGTTGTGATAATGAGTCACTGCATGCGTCAAGCATGGTTGGCCTACGGGCGGGACATACAGGAAGTAATTCCCATGATGTCAGTGCGGTGGCACGTGAAAATACACAGAGAGAGGAAGGCCGTGATGGCACCTCACTGAATGTCGGTAATGACATTGATGGCGAGAAGCCAGAGTGTTCAGGGCTAAGCCCGAATGCTGTACGTGAAGTGGTCCGTGTAAATCCACTGGGTGAAGTGTTTGAGTTACGTAACACTTCACCAGATGTCGTTCAAGACATGAGCTCTCGTCTAGAGCGTGCTAAGACAAATAGCAATCACGGGGACTCGACTGTCCCGGCCTCTAGGAGGCGTACGGTTTCTGTGAGGAAACGATTCCAGCGTAAGGTGGCCACTGTGAAGCGCCCATCGTATAAGAAGTCACGAAGTGATAATAGTAATAATACACTATTTACACTTGTCAATGGGTTGACTGGCCATATCGATGACAATATTAGTCTTGAGACTCTTCCATCCGTGGATAAAATCTTTGAACTAGACGAAATGTCTGACGGCGAATTTAGCCAAGCCTTGCAGGCAGGAGAATTATACGAGTTAGTGGTCATTCGACCAGATATTGAGTTGAACTCATCCTCGTTATTGGACGAGTCTGTCCTTGAGGACACAAAGGCGGCATTGGATGCCCGTAGTGGATCCTCGATCCTTAAGGATCCTCTTGATCCGTTCTATCCTTTGTTAAAGGAATTTCAGGACGTGGTGTGTCACGACCCACCGTCTGTATTACCTCCTGATAGAGGTGTGCGTCATGAAATTGACTTAGTTCCTGGAACTAAATACTGCGTAACACGGCAGTGGCCTTTGCCCAAGGAACAGTGTGACGTCATAGACGACTTCTTTCGTGCAAAGCACGCGGCGGGGATGGTTCGTGAGAGCAAATCTCCCCATTCCACACCGACCTTCTGTGTCAAAAATCCCAACGGGAAGTGGCGCATTGTTCATGCTTACAATAAGCTTAATGTGGCCACCATCCCGGCTCAGACACCAATTCCGAGGAAGGATGTTCTTCAGAACAATATGGTGGGATGTACAATGTACAGTGCGCTCGACTTAGTCGATGGTTATTACCAGCTTCTCATGCGTGAGAAAGGATATTCCGCTAACAGCGGTCAGCACTACAAGCGGTATGCTCTGGGAGTGGATCGTTATGCCACAGGGCTTGTCAAACGCGCCAGCTACGTTCAATCGTCTTGTGACGCAACTGTTTCGGCCTCACCGAGGTTATGCACAGACCTACTTTGATGACATCTTTGTCCATAGTCGTGCAATGAACGGCCGGTCTGATGTGGATAATCACATCGACCATTTACGAGCAGTGCTCGAGTGCATGCGCACGAATAAGTTGTATGCCAACGCCTCTAAGTGCATCTTTGGTGCTCAAAAGATTCCCTTTTTGGGG